TGGCGAGCTGAGCAAGGGCATCGCGGGAAAGCCAGACAGAGCGGGCAAGGGCAGCGGCGGCAGTGGACTCGCGCTCAGCGGGCGTGGGATCAGCGGGCAGCACAGCAGGGGGGTCAGGGCAGGGGAGCATACCGTCTAGGTGGTCGGAAAGCGGGTGGCCGTCCTGCCGCTGACCAGTGAGGTGGCGGCGAAGGTCAGCCAGCCACGCCTCGAACTCCAGAGGCTGACCCTCAGCATCAAAACGAAGCTCAGCAGCCATCAGGGGCAGTGTAGGACGTTGGAGTGCAGGGCAGTGCGGTGGAGTGCGGTCCAGTGAGGTGCAAGGCGGAGCAGGGAAGTGCAGGAGGGTGCAAAGTGGTGCAGGGAACGGGGGACAGTACCGGGAAGTATGTAGGGCCGGGGCAGGCGCGACGGGACCGGGCAGGCGCGACGGGGCCGGGCAGGCGCGACGGGGCCGGGCAGGCGCAACGAGGGGCTAGGCAGACGCGACGGGGCCGAGCGGATGCGAAGGGGCCGGGCGGCTGCGACGGGGCCGGGCGGCTGCGACGGGGCCGGGCGGCTGCGACAGGGGCCGGGCGGCTGCGACGGGGCCGGGCAGCTGCGACGGGGCCGGGCGGCTGCGACGGGGCCGGGCGGCTGCGACGGGGCCGGGCGGCAGCGACGAGGCCGGGCGGCTGCGACGGGGCCGGGCAGGACACAGCAGGGCCGGGCGAGGGCGACGGGGCCGGACGGGCGTGACGGGGCCGGGCGGGTGCGACAGGGGCCGGGCGGGCGCCACGGGGCCGAGCTGGGGCGACGGGGCCGAGCGGGCTCGACGGGGCCCAGGAGGGGCACTATTGGGCCCTGGAGGGGCGCGACGGGGCCCAGGAGGGGCGCGACGGGGCCCAGGAGGGGCGCGACAGGGCCCAGGAGGGGCGCGACGGGGCTCAGGGAGGGGCGCGACGGGGGCCTGGGAGGGGCGCTACCAAGCCCAGGAGGGGCGCGACAAAGCCCAGGAGGGGCGGTACGAAGCCCTGGAGGGGGGCGCGACGGGGCCTGGGGGGGCGCTACGGGGCCCAGGAGGGGCGCTACGGGGCCCAGGAGGGGCGCTACGGGGCCCAGGGAGGAGCGCTAAGGGGGGGGGGGGGGGGGGGGGGCCAGGAGGGGCGCGACGGGGCCCAGGGAGGGGCGCGACGGGGGCCTGGGAGGGGCGCGACGGGGCCCAGGAGGGGCGCTACCAAGCCCAGGAGGGGCGCGACAAAGCCCAGAAGGGGCGCTACGAAGCCCTGGAGGGGGCGCGACGGGCCTGGAGGGGCGCTACGAAGCCCTGGAAGGGGCGCGACGGGGCCTGGGAGGAGCGCGACGGGGCCTGGAAGGAGCGCTACGGGACCTGAAGGGCGCTACGAAGCCCTGGAAGGGGCGCGACGGGGCCTGGAGGGGCGCTACGAAGCCCTGGAAGGGGCGCGACGGGGCCTGAGAGGAGAACGACGGGGCTAGGGGGGGGTCGCGACTGGGCTCAGGAGGGGCGAGGCTAGGCTAGGAGACGCGACGATAGGGGCGGAAGCGGTAGGGGGGGGGGGGGGGTCGAAACCTACGCGGGATACCATCTTAAAACTAGAATTGAATGATTAGAGAGAGAGAGTACATGCACATATACCTAAATGTTGTACCCTCTAGGAGGTTACCCTATACGGTCTATACAAACATGATAAATAAACATGTTTGACAGGTAGGTGTGTGTGATGTGATGGATGGATGTTAGGTTGACTTGTGAATGTACCCTGAAACTTTTAATATTTTATTAATGGGGGTGGTGGATGAAGGTGCCCTTCACGCCCTTCCTTTCGCCTTCCCCCCCCCCCCCAGAAGCCCGTTCTTTTGCCCTGCCCGAAACTTTCTTTAACCCTGCCCGGGCCAGCGTTTGCTCCCCTCCTGGCCAAGCGTTTTGCGTTTAAACGCTAGCGTTTAAAACGCCAAACGCGTTTATTCCAACATAGACATGGGCTGGATATAACAGCCAGAAATGGCTGGATACACCAGCCAGAAACATGGGCTGGATATACCAGCCAGTTGGCTGGATACACTAGCCAGCAACATGGGCTGGATTTTACCAGCCAGCAACATGGGCTGGCTTACCAGCCAGAAACATAAGCTGGATTTGCCAGCCAGGAACATGGGCTGGATATACCAGCCAGAAATGGCTGGATACACCAGCCAGAAACATGGGCTGGATCTACCAGCCAAAAGCATGGGCCAGATCTACCAGCCAGGAACAGCAGCTGGTTTAACCCCAGTGAATGCCCCACTCACTACCTACGGAAACTCCCCCTAAACCTGCTGCTGCGGCAGTCACAGCTACTCCACGCAGCTTCTTCTGTTGGTGTCTGGCAATTGAGCTTGCGACCTACCACGGGCAGTCAAGGCATGCAAAAGGCAGGCAGCAGAGCACAAGGCAACCGGACTGGGTTGTTGCTGAGAAAATGAGGATATCTCGTGCTTCTACCGGTGCGGTGCGGCTGCTGCCCATAACCACCGCCACCACCGCTCACACTTGTACCCGTGTCTTCTCAAGAGAGAAGGGAGGTAAGAGCAAACCCAAAGTGAGCCCAGAGAAAATGTGGAAGAAATCAGACGAATGGCAGTGAGAAGGAGATGTGTTGAATGCAAAACCGTACCATTACAAATCTGCTGCAATCTTTTTGTCGCTGTTGCAGCCATTCCTGTTGACAAAGCTGCTGTTGTTGCTGGTGCCGTTGTATGGCGCTGGCACTGCCATAGGTTTTGCTGCTTCTGCCATTGCTGTTGTCTGGAGCTTCACTGGGGAAAAGAGAGGGAGGGGCAAACGCGAAGTCAACGTGAGAAATTTGGGAAGACAAAATCCAAGGCCCAGAGAGGGCAGAGAATGGAAAGCGGAAAGAGCAGGAGCCAGGAGAAGGCAGAGGAGAATACGAACCAAAAAGCCATATGCTGCTGCCACCCCCGATGTTGCTGCTGATACTGCGGCGTTGTTGACTCTGGTGCCTTGACTGCTGCTGGCGCTGCCACTGCTAGCATCACTCATACATGGTGCACTGGCAAGTCGGGGCAACAAGTCTGTTCTGATGGATGTCGAGATAAGGGGGCAAGGCAGCAGTAAGGAGAGGGTCAGCAAGACAGAGTAGAAATACTGAGTGTGCGTTTTCACGTAAGGACGAAACCAGGAGCTATGGAAAAGGGAAAAGGGCTGACATGCACAGCTCTGGCGTCCACACACTAGGTTATAAGCGACTGCTGCTGCCAGTGCCACCGCCACGGCCGGTGCTGCCACTGCTGCAAGCATCCCTACTGCTTGACGAGGAATGGAGAGGGTGGGAAGGCCACAGGCTGCAGGGGAAGAGGAGAAGCGTTAGGGAGGTACTGCAAGACTAGTAAAAAGCTTGAGGTACTGCTAGAAGCATGAGATATACCTGTGTGGTGAAGATGGGGCAAGTACGCGACTCTGTTGCTGCTGCAGCCGTTTGTGCTGCCACTGCTGCAGCCGTTTGTGCTGCCACTGCTGCAGCCGTTTGTGCTGCCACTGCTGCAGCCGTTTGTGCTGCCACTGCTTCAGCCGTTCGTGCTGCCACTGTTGCTGCTGCCTTGAGCTCCAGTGGGCTTGCAGGGGTGGCTGCAGCTGGGCGGGGAGAGGAGAGGGCAGGACAGCCGAGACGTGGAGGAGAAAGTGGAGATGACAGATGGCCAGAGCAAGATAGGCTTAAGAGAGGTGACAGCGAAATAACGAGCAAAACAAACAAAGAACAAAGCAATGAGGTGAAACTAGGGCAAGGTGGTGCTTGTGTTAGCGCTGTTAGTAACCCTGCAGCAGTTGCTGCTACTGTGTTGAGCACCACTCTCCTGCGCTCCATGCACAACGCGGCTGCGACAACAGCCACTGAGATGGCCGCAGTAGTTGCAGTGGAAGGGGAGTACAGCGGCATCGGTGTTGACCTTAACGCGCCTCCCTCCACCTGCCGGTGCACACATAGCGCTAGTTAGTGCACAGTGAGAGAACCAAGGGCCAGAGAGAACTGACAGAAAAACATGCTGAATTCACAAGGCGAGAGAAGGGAGGGGCCACTGGTGGAGGGACAAGCACAAGCCACAGAACCCAAGGGGACCTGAGGGGGTGAACCTGGGGGCCTGAACCTGTGGGGTTGACCTGCAGTGGGGGGTCCAGTGGCCAAATTCTTGAAGGAAAAGCATGGGAGCACATGCGATCAAAACAAGGAAAGAAATGAAGCAGGTAGCAGCATGCACGGCCTTGTTCAGGGCGGAGAAGAAACTTGGCTAGGTAATGAAGCGGATGGTGTCAGGCAGGAGATGACGGCTAAGGGCGGAAGAGGTCACGATCCCGCTCATGCACTCACCACTGCTGGCAAGGCTGCTGCAGCTGATGTGGAGCTGCGGAGACACTCTAACGCCTCTCAAACAGGAAGAGGAAGGGAAGACAAAACAATGCACAAGGAGAAGAGAGAAAAAAAAGGCATTAGCACGAGCAAGGTTAGACAGGACTCGAAAAGAAAGTAACATGGTGACTCTCTAGGCGGCCTATAGACCCAATCCCCCCCACCTCCCTTGATCTGCCAACAAACCTTTCCTGCTTCCTTGCAGCACGTCTTGGACAAGGGCAGGCCGCTTTCCCTCTGCTGCACCCGCAGCCACCACTGCTGCTGCTGGCGCTGCTGGCGCCTCTGTTGACACTAACGTTCTCAAGGGTGATGTGAAGCTCCAGTGTGATTCCTAGCAACCAGAAAAAGGGAGGCGGGGGTAGACGATGCAGAAATACGACGAAAGGCCACAGGAGGACTCTCTAGGCGGCCTATGGTAGACGCGCTAGACGACCCCCCCACTTCCCAGATCCAAGTCAAACCTCCTGCTGGATGCAGCGGGTCCTGTTGAAGCAGTGGGGTTGAAAGCGTCCGCGAGAGAGAGGCAGTTCCTCCTCTGCTGCCATCGCCACTGCTGCTGCCATCGCCTCTGCTGCTGCCATCGCCACTGCTGCTGCCATCGCCACCGCTGCTGCCATCGCCACTGCTGCTGCCATCCCCACTGCTGCAGCCATCGCCACTGCTGCTGCCATCGCCGCTGCTGCCGGTGTTGGAGGTCATCAACCGATCCAACGCCTCGCACATGGGAGAGAAAAAAGGCAAAACGAAGACGACCGAAGCGAGATGTTAGCACATGATCAAGGTCAAAAGGGACGCGGAACGAAAATGACACGGTGACACTCTAGGCTGCCTGCAGACACAATCCCCCCCACCTCCCTTGCTCCAGCAACGTACTTGTCTTCTTTCCTTGCAGCCCAGTGAAGGTGAAGCACAGCGGAGGAGCGAGGAGTGAGGAGTGAGGAGTGAGGAGCGAGGAGTGAGGAGTGAGGAGTGAGGAGTGAGGAGTGAGGAGTGAGGAGCGAGGAGTGAGGAGTGAGGAGTGAGGAGTGAGGAGTGAGGAGCGAGGAGTGAGGAGTGAGGAGCGAGGAGTGAGGAGCGAGGAGTGAGGAGTGAGGAGTGAGGAGTGAGGAGCGAGGAGTGAGGAGTGAGGAGTGAGGAGCGAGGAGTGAGGAGTGAGGAGTGAGGAGTGAGGAGTGAGGAGCGAGGAGTGAGGAGTGAGGAGTGAGGAGCGAGGAGTGAGGAGTGAGGAGCGAGGAGTGAGGAGTGAGGAGTGAGGAGCGAGGAGTGAGGAGCGAGGAGTGAGGAGTGAGGAGCGAGGAGTGAGGAGCGAGGAGTGAGGAGCGAGGAGTGAGGAGCGAGGAGTGAGGAGCGAGGAGTGAGGAGCGAGGAGTGAGGAGTGAGGAGTGAGGAGTGAGGAGCGAGGAGTGAGGAGTGAGGAGCGAGGAGTGAGGAGCGAGGAGTGAGGAGCGAGGAGTGAGGAGCGAGGAGTGAGGAGTGAGGAGTGAGGTGTGAGGAGCGAGGAGTGAGGAGCGAGGAGTGAGGAGCGAGGAGTGAGGAGCGAGGAGTGAGGAGCGAGGAGTGAGGAGCGAGGAGTGAGGAGTGAGGAGTGAGGTGTGAGGAGCGAGGAGCGAGGAGCGAGGAGTGAGGTGTGAGGAGCGAGGAGCGAGGAGCGAGGAGGGGTTGGCTGCTGCAGGTGGTGTTGGAGCTCGTGAGCTGATCGAAGCCTCGCACATGGAAGGGAAAACGAGCAAAACGAGGACGACCGAAACAAGCTGTTGGCTCACGAGCAAGGTAAAAAAGGGACGCAGAAAGAAATAAACCTGGAGACTCTCTAGGCGGCCTATAGACACAATTCCCCCCACCTCCCTTGCTCCAGCGACATACCTGTCTTCTTCACGTGCAGCCCGTCCTGGCGAAGGTGAAGCGCAGGTGGAGTTGAGAGGCGCCGGCGCGGCAAAAGAGGCTCTTCGTCGTCATGCGACGCCAACCCTGCTGGTGCCGACGATGCCATCCGTCCGCCATCGTGTCATTGCACCGCGCTGGCTTGAGTCGCTTGGTCGTCGCTTGACGAGACCGACAGCCTCGATGGCTCGGACATCCGACACCACCATCAGCGGAGGCGAAAGCGCGGAGCACACATGCACAAGCCAACACAAGAGCGAGTTAGTAACACGAACGAGAGCTCAAGACTCGATAAAAATATATCTTCTTAAGAACGCTCTATATGGCGACTTAGACGCTACGATCCCCCCAGTACCCTCCGATCCGCCATTTACCGTGAAAATGGAGTGAATCCGAACGAGAGGGCGCCAGCCGATCCGACAGGCAGGTCTAACGTCTGTCCAGTCGTCAGGTGCGTGTGAACTATCTCCTTGACAAATCGTCCGCTGGAACGCCGAATATCGCCGTTCCGACCCCGGATGTCCGTGTCGAATGGTCTCATGAGCCAACTGTCGCCGTTCCGATCCCGGATGTGCGTGTGAACCATTTCCATGACAAATCGTCAGCTGGTACGCCGAATGTCGCCGTTCTGAAGCCGGATTTCCGATTCGAATGTGCTCATGAGCCAACTGTCGCGCGACATCGCCAGCAGAACATTCGTTGAATCTCGACCATGCTCGTGACTTCGCAGGTGACATCTACCTAGTTTATCAACTGTAAAACAGTTGGTTGGGACTAAAACTACTGATTGGCCGGCGAACTGTAGGCACCAGTGAAATCGCCTGCGAGTGTTGCAATTCACGCACCCTCACGACACAAAACCTGGTTTTTCCCAACCAACTGAAAAACACTTGCCCCAGGTTCTAGGAACTTGTGTCCCTGGCTTTAAGAAACAGCTGCTCAACCTACCGCTGAAGCTGGACGATGTTCGTCGCTTGATCTCTGACGACGTTAAGAAACGCTTCTACGGTTTCGCCGAATTATTGCCGACAAGCCGGAACCGACAATCTAAGCCGAGTCTTCAAACCATTCCTACTGCTGACGAGCTTGAAGAACAGAGCTGACGGAGACCGAGTGGAGGAGAATGGAAACAGAACGCTAACTGAGCGGAACGAGAAGCCTACCCTTATGGACGGACTAGAGGCGAGAATAGTTGTAGACGGCGGTTTACACTGCTGAGCGGAGTCTAGCCGAGGTAAGGAAGTCTGTCTGCGGTGAGGAAGCCCTGTCTGAGGTGAACGAAATCCATGAGGTGAAGAAAGCCTACCTGCGGTGGAGGAAGTCTGCATGGTGGGGTGAAGGTGAGAATAGAACCGAGACGCCTTTTGAAAATGGAGTCAGAAGAACAGCGATTTGGAGGGAAAACCAGGCTCGGTGATAAGCAAGTTGAGGTGTGGTGAGAACTAGTTACCACCATACCTGAGACTAGCCCTGTACTCAACCAGATTGGTTGACAGGTTTGTTTTGGTTAGCTTCGGTTCGTCACGACGCGGCCGCTACCTCGCTGATGAGGGCACCAGCCCAGCGGAAGCCTGTGGTGATTGGGTGTGAACCAAGTGAAAGCTTTTTTCTGCTTTGGAATCATACGCTACCGAAATGGAACTCTCAGTAACGCTCCAAACCCCGATAAAGTTCTGGCGACGTTCGTCAAAATTCAGTGAACAGCCGTGACGTCCATTTGCAAGCTTGGAGTGAATATCCCCTTACAATCCCATTCCCACGCACCGATTGGCCAATTGCAGGGCGCTTGCGTGGCTGGTGACGTTTCCAACCAATTCAGCATGCCATCGCGAGCTGTCCACCGTCCACGCCAGCATACCTCCCGTGCGTTGCTTCCAGCGGAACTTCCTTCGCGCAATCAAGGGCAAAATGTGTCTGCTTTACAAGCTGAAGCATTATTTACAGTTACACTCACTTTCCTTTCTGATTGTTGCTGTACATAATTACACCCGACACTTTATGTGGCACCCTCACTTCGGTGGACCTGCCACCCTTTGTTCTCAAGAAGCACAGCATCAAGTTGAGCAACAGGGGTCCACGTTGTCGTAGTTCCTACTCCGCTCACGCCGTCCTCGCCGAAATCTCGTGGCTTGGCGAATACCAGCGCCAAACTCGCTCCCACCTTCGTAGTAGGCTACCTGGCGCCAGAATTAACGACGCTGTGTTCCATCGTTACTACGAAAGTCATTCGACCAAGCCTGCCGAGCGATTCACGTTGCTCCTCCACCCGTACTTCTTCACGCTTGCTTTCCTCGCCGTGCTCTAGGTTCATTCGATAAACCACACGATCTGTTTCTTCAACACGTGGTTGATTCGTTAAAATTCGAATTACGGTTTTAAGTTCTGCTACGAAAACCGCGAGCAGGCGGATAGCACGTGGGTCCAGCATGTTTTCAGCAGGCGTGCAGCGATCCAAGGGTCGCTGGCTCGATGCCGCGAAGGTGCTGACGCGGCACCACCGCCAGCGTGGCTGTGCCGGGGCCGTATACCCCGTTACAAGCACACCTCATACAGCCCCAACCCTAATCGATATACGCGAGGCGGAAGGTGGCGGGCCGTCGGAAATCGGATTCGAATCGTCCGGGTCGGGGAGGAAGGCGAAGGCGGTAGGAGGGGGACAGGCGGACTTTGGAGTTGCCGGGGACCTTGGGATTTCCGTGGCGCCGTACGGGCTTGGCGGGAGGCGGTGGTATTCCGCATTCCGTGGGACCGAGGGGTCCGTGATTGGCGGTCCTGGTTACGCTGATTCGCGACAGGTACACGTGCTCTATTGCGCTTGTTGCTTGAGGAAGGATTGAGTGGTTGGGCAGCGTGGTACGTTTTGAGGCGCCTCAAAACGAGGAAGGACTGAGTGTTTGGGCAGCGTGGTACGTTCGCGTGGTGTATCGTTGCGGCTTCGTGCGACGGAGTAGGATTCAGTCGCAGGGAATAACTCAAAGGGCGCATGGCTGTTTTTCTGGGAGGAGATGGACGCCCCAATGTGAAGCAGTTTCAGTTTCGTGTTCTGACTTCCGATACTCCATCGTTTTTGTCTCGGTTGTCACAGGCGCACATGCCGCATCACAGCGCCATCTTTTCCCGATGCCTTTCCTCTGAACCGCCTCCTGCTGAAGAACCCAAGCCAAAGAGTAGGTCGTTGTCTCCCCCAGGCTCACATGCCACTGGTCCCTTTAATCTGCGGCAATCGTAGCCAGAGAGCAGCCATTGACGTTCCATAAGTGGGAATATAAATTCCCCTAGAAGCCTCCAGGAGGCCGACCTTAGCTTGGCATTGCCCCCGTGCCCGTTGTTGGCCTGTGCGTTAACCGTTGCCGTTGTGCCCTGTGCCACGAGCAGACTACGAGCACTACTACCCCAAGAGGAAGGCACAGGAAGCGGGACGCCCTGCTGCTGAAACACCAAGTGAGAGAGAGAGTCTTTTTTTAGTCGATCTGGAGTCAACCGAAGTCTCCTTTCCTCCTCGCATCACCTTTTTCTGCCCCCTTCCCCCACTGCCCTCCACCTCCCCCCCTCTCCCCTCCCCTACCTCCCCATCACTCCTCCCTCCTGTTTCTCTTTTGCTTTGTCAACGGCATGCCATTTTTCTCTCCCCGTGGATTGGCTAGCAGGCGAGAAGCCACAAGCTGGGGGGCCACAGCAGGAAGCAGTAACAGGGGGACAGGGGGGAGCAGGCGGAGGAGCAGGAGGAGGGGGGGAGGATGGCAAGAAGGCAAGCAGCAGCGAGGGCGGTGAGGGGAACAAGAAGGAGCAGAACTTCTGGGACGAGGCGTTTGGCAAGGACTGGCGCGCCAACATCTACCCCTTGCTGTCGGCGGCGCTGTTCCTCTCGCTCACCTCCATGGTTACCGGGGATGCTAATAACGAGGCTGTGGAGATCAGCTTCCAGGAGTTCAAGAACGAGCTGCTAGAGAAGGGGCTTGTAGCGAAGGTGGAGATAGTGAACAGGAGCAAGGCCAAGGTGTATGTGTACACCAACCGCCGCGCTGCTCCTGGTGCTGCTGGTGCGGCTGGTGGTGTTGCTGGGGCTGGTGCTGGTGCTGGTGCGAGGGGTCAGGGTAGTGGTGGTGTAGGTGGTGCTAGTACTGGGGAGACTTATGGCGGGGATGGGGATGCGATGTACTTTGATGAGAAGCACGGGGAGTTTGACGGGCACCAGCAGGGGGAGGGCGCGCAGGGGCAGGGGGAGGGGCTGGGAGGGGGGGCGCGGGGGGCGAGGCAGCGGAGGAGGCAGGTGGAGCAGCTTGCAGCGTATCGGTACTACTTCCAGATTGGGAGCGTGGACTCGTTTGAGCGGAAGCTGGAGGAAGCCCAGGACTCGATGGGCATTGATGGGCATAACAGGGTGAGTGAGCTGGTAGTTCGACTGCGGTGGGTGAGGCGGTGTTTCTTTACCATGCCCTGCAATCTTCCCCCATTCCTTACCTAACCTTCCTGTTGAACCCCGATCCACCCCCCTCTCCCCCCCTCTCCCCCCCCTCTCCCCCCTCCCTTCCCCAGATCCCAGTGACCTACACGTCAGACGTCAGTCGGCAGCAGGAGCTGCTCCGCCTGCTCTCCACCATCCTCATCGTGGCCGCGTGGGTTTTCTTCAGCGGCAGTCTGAATTCTCGTTCCCACCCCTCCCATCCGCCTCACTTTTCCCTCTCCCCCCACCCCACCAGATCCCACTGACCTATGCCTCCGAGGTCAGTTGGCAGCAGGAGCTGCTGCGCCTTCTCCCCACGATCCTCATCGTCGCCGCGTGGATCTTCTTCAGCCGCGGGCTGCAGTCCGGCTTCGGCATGGGCGGCATGGGCGGCCCGGGCGGCGCGGGCGGTGCCAAGGGCATCTTCAACGTGGGCAAGGCGTCCGTCACGAAGCTGGACAAGCACAGCAAGAACAAGGTCTACTTCAAAGACGTGGCAGGCTGTGACGAGGCCAAGCAAGAGGTGATGGAATTCGTCCACTTCCTCAAAAAACCCGCCAAGTATCAGGCCCTTGGGGCGAAGATCCCCCGGGGAGCGCTGCTGGTGGGCCCGCCTGGCACAGGCAAGACCCTGCTGGCCAAGGCGACCGCAGGGGAGGCGGACGTGCCGTTTCTGTCCATCTCTGGGTCCGACTTCATGGAGATGTTTGTGGGCGTGGGGCCTTCGCGAGTCAGGGATCTATTCGCGCAGGCTAGGGCGTGCAGCCCCAGCATCATCTTCATCGATGAGATCGACGCAGTGGGGAGGGCGAGGGGCCGCGGGGGGTTCGCGGGGGGAAATGACGAGCGGGAGAACACGCTGAACCAGCTTCTGGTGGAGATGGATGGGTTCACAACGACGTCTGGGGTGGTGGTTCTCGCAGGGACGAACCGGCCGGATATTCTCGACCCCGCGCTGCTGCGGCCGGGCCGGTTCGACCGCCAGATCACGATCGACCGGCCGGACATCAAGGGCCGGGAGCAGATCTTTCGGATTTACCTGAGCCGGGTGCGGCTGGATAAGGAGGTGGAGTTCTACTCGCAGCGGATGGCGGCGCTGACGCCGGGGTTTGCGGGGGCGGACATTGCAAATGTGGTGAATGAGGCGGCGCTGATGGCGGCAAGGAATGACCGGGAGGTGATCCTCATGCAGGACTTTGAGGCCGCGGTGGATAGAGTGATTGGCGGGCTGGAGAAGAAGGGCAAGGTGAGCGAGGAGAATGAGGGGGTGGGGGGGTTGTGGGGGTGAGCGTAAGGGAAGGTGCTGGGGGTGTGGGAGAAAAGGACGGTGAGTTGTGACGGTTGATAACGATCTGGATTTAGCAACAGTGCCGTTATTCTTGCAGCGCACACGACTCTTCCCACGTTTCCCCCCCCATCCTCCCCCATCCTCTCCCCATCCTCCCCCTTCTCCCCGACATCCCCGACCACTTAGTCCTGGAGCAAAATTGGCCTATCACAAGGCAGGGCACACGCTGGTGGCATGATTCCTGCAGCCTACGCAGGCACTGCCCCCCCCCCCCCCTTCTCCCTTCTCCCCCTTCCTCGTCCTGATTCACCAAATTATCAGCCCTCTGGAGTGCTGCACAGTGGCATATCATTAGGCTAGGCATGCACTTGTGGCGTGGTTCTTAGAGCACTCGGAGCTGCTGCTGACTGCCCCCCCCTCTTCCCCCCCCCCCCCCCAATCTCTACCCTTCCACCACCCCTCGAATTCAACAGGTAGTTAGCGCCGTAGACTACCACGAGGGAGGGCATGCGGTGGCGGCGTGGTTCCTGTAGCACACGAAGCCACTGCTGAATTACCCCGCTCCCCTGTCTCCCTTTTCCCTTGTCGTTCTCTATCACCACCAGGTGATCAGCGCCGTGGAGCGCCGCACAGTGGCCTACCACGAGGCGGGGCATGCGGTGGTGGCGTGGTTCCTCGAGCACACGGAGCCGCTGCTGAAGGTGTCTATCGTGCCACGTGGCACCGCGGCATTGGGCTTCGCACAGTACCTGCCGAACGAGAATCTGCTGATGACGAAGGACCAGCTGATCGACATGACGTGCATGGCGCTGGGAGGGCGAGCTGCTGAACAGGTGAGGTGGAATTGGGGGGGTAGTGCCGGTGCAGTGCCTGGTGCGGCGTCTGGTGCAGTGGTGTGGGGCAAACGTCTCCTCATGACCAAGGGCATGACATTACGTGTATGGCCCCTGGGGGGGGGGGGGGGGGAGTGGCTGAACAGGCGAGGTAGTGTTGGGATGCCAACCACCCTGCCCCACGAGTGTTACTGCCTTCGCCTCTCACCCTGCCTCTTACCTCGGCCTCCGTCTCTGTCCTCCACCAGGTGCTGCTGGGCAGCGTGTCAACAGGCGCGCAGAACGACCTGGAGCGCGTCACCAAGACCACGTACAACAGGGTAGCCGTCTATGGCTTCAGTGACAAGCTCGGCCTTCTCTCCTTCCCCAAGGCCACCAACAGCGAGGGCCTGGAGGGCCTCTCAAAACCCTACAGCAACGAGACCGCCGACCTGATCGACACCGAGGTGCGCGAGGCCGTGGACTCGGCGTATCGGCGCACCCTAGAGCTGATGGAGACTCACAGGGAGGGGGTGGCAGCCGTGGCTGAGGAGCTGCTAGTGAAGGAAGTGCTCCACCAGGAGGACCTGGTGCGGCTGCTGGGGCCTCGGCCGTTCAAGAATGCCGAGATGAGTAATTACGAGCGGTTCGTGCATGGGTTCGAGGGGGAGATGAAGGAGGGGGGGAGGGGGAGAAGAAGGGGGAGGAGGGGGGAACGGAGGGGGAGAGAGGGGGGATTGGGCTGGAAGGGGCGCCGGCGCTGGCGGCGGTGGGAAGGGAGGGGTCGAGTGGGGGATGGTGGAGTGGAGGGAGGAGCGGACCTGGCCCAAGGTTGTGATGATGGGATGGGATGGGATGGGACGACGTGCTCTTGGTGGGTGCTGTGCTGTGGGGAGGACACTGAGAGATTGAAGCAGCTTGGTTGCACTTGTTGTGGGTGTTCCGTGCATGACGCATCTCCATGAATACAAGTTTCAGCCTTGCAAAACGGGAAGGACATTGATGTATGTAGTGGGGCTATTACTGCACTGTAATTTCTTGTGTTACCTTGTGCTGATCATGAGCATCTACTGTTACTCACTGGCCATACCTGAAATCACACCCCAGGCATGTAGGTAGGACATGTGTCGCATTGCCATGGATTAGTGCAAGCCCACATGCATGCATGAAGCATGATGTGCTTGCGGAGGAAGCTCCTGCGGCCTAAAGCGCGAGTCACGACGGTGTATTCTTGAGTGTACCAAGCAGACACCAACCAAGCACCAACGAGCATGAACCATACGGTACGAGACAACGTAAGGGCGTCTCCCCCGCGTACGTTTGATTGCGGTGGGGTGAGATGCTCTGCGAGGCAGAAGGTTCTTATCATGACCTGAAACGGTTGGGTATGGTTCTGAGAGAGAAGCGTATGCGTGGGATGGGATGGGACACACGCTAATCCGCCGACGGGTCAGAGGTGGTGTTGTGGCGTTGTGTCACCCCACATGCAGGAGACCAGTGTAGATGAGTTGGCAAAGGATTCAAACACAAATCGGAGGATTTTATTTCAACTACATTTAGTATGGAGTACACAACTACCGATATCTCCTGAATGCACTCCTACCATGCAACCAACCAGTAGGATGCTTTCATCCTAGCTATCACCACCACCGTCACCAGAACCATCCTCTTCCTTCCCACCCACTGCACCACCCTCCACCTCTCCTTCCTCCCCCTGCTGCCCCCAGCTTGACCTTGACTGGGTAGTCCACCACCGCCACACATGTGGCATGATGACGGACCCCATCCATAGCCTCTCCTCCACCTCGCGCACCAACAGACCTAGGCTGTCCTCTAGCACTCGTAACAGGGACACTTCACAGCTCATCCTTTGTTTCGCCCTCCCCCTCCCCCTCCTCCTCCTCCTCCTCCTCCTCCTCTTCCTTCTCACCCACAGCACCCTCCTCCTCTGCCTCTCCCTTCTCCCCCTGCTGCCCGTGCTTCCCGGCAGCTTCACCTTGACCGGGTAGTCCACCACCGCCACGTGCGGCATGATGACGGACCCCATCCACAGCCGCCCCCCTCTCTCCTCCACCTCGCTGATCGCACGCACCACGAGCCCCAGGCTGTCCTCCAGGACCTCGGTGATCTCCCCGTTCTCATCCACCTCTATCAGGTACCCGTGCGGCGCACCTATGATGATGCCGTATAGGATTTTGACCTCGAGTGGCAGCCGCATCATGATGCGGCGTAGCCATGGGCGCGTGGTCAGGATGTCTGTGGTTGGGGGGGAGGGGGGCCGGGGGGCGGGGGAAGGGAGTGAAGACAGGGGGGAGGGGCGATGGCAGGAGATTGAGCGGTGTGCAGGGAGGGGAGGGAGGAGCCCCAGGCTGTCCTCCAGCACATCGGTGATCTCCCGTTCTCATCCGCCTCTGTCAGGTACCCGTGCGGCGCGGCCACGATCATGCCGTAGAGAATATTCACCTCGAGTGGTAACCGCATGAGGATGCGCGTAACCAGGGGCGCATGGGGCAGGGGGTGGTGGGTGGTTGGTGGGAGTGGGGAGGGGAGGGGGACAGAGGGTGAGGGCCGGAGGCAGGGGATTGAGGGGTGTGGAGGGGAAGGAGGATCCTCAGGCTGTCCTCCAGCGCATGTCTGCATGGAAGGCATGGAGAGGGGGGGAGGGCGGAGAGTGAGGGGAGGGCGGAGAGTGAGGGGAGGGCAGAGAGTGAGGGGACGGCAGAGAGTGCGGGGAGGGCAGAGAGTGCAGGGAGGGCAGAGAGTGCAGGGAGGGCAGAGAGTGAGGGGAGGGCGGAGAGTGAGGGGAGGGCGGAGAGCATGGGGAGGGCAGAGAGCAGGAGGACGGCAGAGAGTGAGGGGAGGGCAAAGAGTGCGGGGAGGACAGAGAGCGCGCGGAGGACAGAGAATGAGGGGAGGGCGGAGAGTGAGGGGAGGGCGGAGAGTGAGGGGAGGGCGGAGAGTGAGGGGAGGGCAGAGAGCGAGGGGAGGGCAGAGAGTGAGGGGAGGGCAGAGAGTGCAGGGAGGGCAGAGAGTGCGGGGAGGGCAGAGAGTGAGGGGAGGGCGGAGAGTGAGGGGAGGGCGGAGAGTGCGGGGAGGGCAGAGAGTGAGGGGAGGGCAAGAGTGCGGGGAGGGCAGAGAGTGCAGGGAGGGCAGAGAGTGCGGGGAGGGCAGAGAGTGAGGGGAGGGCGGAGAGTGAGGGGAGGGCGGAGAGCGCGGGGAGGGCAGAGAGTGAGGGGAGGGCAAAGAGTGCGGGGAGGGCAGAGAGTGCAGGGAGGGCAGAGAGTGCGGAGAGGGCAGAGAGTGAGGGGAGGGCGGAGGAGGGATGGGGAGAGCGCGGGAGGGCAGAGAGTGAGGGAGGGCAGAGAGTGCGGGAGGCAGAGAGTGGAGGGAGGGCAGAGAGTGTGGGGAGGGCAGAGACTGCGGGTAGGGCAGAGAGTGAGGGGAGGGCGGAGAGTGAGGGGAGGGCGGAGAGTGAGGGGAGGGCGGAGAGTGAGGGGAGGGCGGAGAGTGAGGGGGGGCGAGAGTGAGGGAGGCAGAGAGTGGGGAGGCAGAGAGTGCGGGGAGGGCAGAGTGCGGGAGGGCAGAGAGTGCGGGGAGGGCAGAGACTGGGGGGGCGAGAGTGAGGGGGGGGAGGGGGGGGGGGAGAGTGAGGGGGGGGAGAGTGGGGGAGGGCGGAGAGTGAGGGGGGGAGGTGAGGGGGCAGAGAGTGCGGGGAGGGCGGAGAGTGAGGGAGGGCAGAGAGTGAGGGGATGGCAGAGAGGCAGGAGAGTGAGGGGAGGGCAGAGAGTGAGGGGATGGCAGAGAGTGCGGGGGAGGGGCAGACAGTGCAGGGAGGGCAGAGAGTGCGGGGAGGGCAGAGATGCGGGAGGGCAGAGAGAGTGAGGGGAGGGCGGAGAGTGAGGGGAGGGCGGAGAGTGAGGGGAGGGCGGAGAGTGAGGGGAGGGCAGAGAGTGAGGGGAGGGCAGAGAGTGCAGGGAGGGCAGAGAGTGCGGGGAGGGCGGAGAGCGCGGGGAGGGCAGAGAGTGAGGGGAGGGCGGAGAGTGCGGGGAGGACAGAGGGCGAGGGAATCCGATGAACCCATAAGGTTGAGAATGATGATGAGGGCATACCAATGATGATGAGGGCGTACCAATGATGATGAGGGCATACCAATGATGATGAGGGCATACCAATGATGATGAGGGCATACCAATGATGATGAGGGCATACCAATGATGATGAGGGCATACCAATGATGATGAGGGCGTACCAATGATGATGAGGGCATACCAATGATGATGAGGGCATACCAATGATGATGAGGGCATACCAATGATGATGAGGGCATACCAATGATGATGAGGGCATACCAATGATGATGAGGGCATACCAATGATGATGAGGGCATACCAATGATGACGCCTCGTTTGGCGTGGAGAGCGATCCAGAAACGGCCGCGGGGGTTGAGGCGAATGTTGTCAGGCAGCCCGGGCAGGTCCAGGAAGAGCTCGCTGCTGCCCGCCTTAGGGCCCTTGATCCAGTAGCGCATGCACCTGATGTTGTGGGGATTGTATGTTGCACTCATTGTGGTGTGGGGCGGTGAAGCTGGTGTGAGCTGGTGTATGAGCTGGTGTGATGAGCTGGTGTGATGAGCTGGTGTGATGAGCTGGTGTGATGAGCTGGTGTGATGAGCTGGTGTGATGAGCTGTGTGATGAGCTGATGTGATTTTCGATGCCATACAGTGCGTGCGGCATGGAACGCTGCAAGAGATAGGATGCCATGACAGATTCTTGTTGTGTAAAGGTCTTCTGAGGAAATTTTTGAGTCGAATCAAAAACCGAAAAAAAAAAAAAAAAAAAAAAAAAAAAACACCTCAAGAAGATTCTTGTTGAGTAAAGGCTTCTGAGGAAGCGGAAAACGAAGTTGCCAACAAGCAGTGCTAACCTGGCCCGGGTGGTTTCGCAGACAATGAGGAAGGACTTGTCTTTGGAGAGCGCAACGCCATTGGCAAAGGCGAGGTTCCTCATGATCACCTCCACCTTGCCCGTCGCAATGTCCAGCCTCATCAGCCGCCCGTCCGCCCACCCCTCCATTATCGCCACAAAGAAATTCCTGGGGGGGGTGAAAAGAGGAGGGGAGAGTGAGAGGGAGGAGAGCGAGGTGGGGAAGTGAGATTGGGGAGAGGGTAGTAGTGAGGGACATTGGGAAGAGGTGCAAGACGCGAGGAATGCGTGTCACGGTCTGGAAACCAGCCTTCTGTCCTCTCCCCCCATCGTCGCTGTAAGCGTGTGCTGCTGCCCTCTCGCTGTGTAGATTCCGCCATCTCCCTCCTCTCCCTCCTCTCCCTCCTCTCCCTCCTCTCCCCCCTCTCCCCCCCTTTCCCCCCGCACCTGCAGTGAAAGCGCGTGCTGCTGTCCTCACGCCGTGTATATCCCGCCTTCTCTTCTCCCTCCCCCTCCCTCCCAACTCCCCCCCCAACACCCCCTCCCTCCCCTTTTTCCGCTCCCCCTCCCCCCCAACCCCGCCCGGTCCTCACCTGCGTTGGAAGCGCGTGCTGGTGTCGGTGAAGTAGATGGTGCCATTCTCGTCGCTGGCGGCAATATCGAGGTCGTTGGCGAACAGCAGCGGCCGCCCTCCACGTGTGCCACCACCACTTGCGCCTGCCCGCCCTGCCGCCCCACCTTGCACAGCCCGAAGTACGCATCCGCGAACCACAGATCGCCCGTCACCGGATGGAACCGCATTCCCAGCGGCCGCCCGCAGATGTGCTCCAGGGTTAGATTGGGCACGATGGTCATGTTGAGCCCATATACGATGGGTGATTTACCCTCCTCCAGCTCCACCGGCTTCGGATCGCATAATTCCGGGGTCCTGCCAGGGGACAAGGAGCGGATCTTAATCGACGCATAATTTTGAAAGGAACTACTTCCAGCGCGGAATTCAGATGACCAGAAGGTGAGAACGGGCATGTGGGCATCCCAGGTGATCGACGCTGCTATGTGTTTTGCTTTAGGGAGGAGGGCAGTACCGTGAGGGCGGGCGATCTAAGCCGGGTCGTACCGTGAGGGCGAGGCCCAGGCGAAAGTCTCCCAGGCGGTGTCGTCGGCGTTGCGCCGCACCACGCGGCCGTCGCTGAGCCCCGCGTACGGCCCTCGCCCGTCCAGATCCCACGCCAGACTCTCCGGCCCGAAGCCCTGCCCCTCGTACCTGCCCAGTCAGAGCAGCAAGCAGCACGAGGCACTCAAATCGAGATACATCAATTCCTTCGCGATTCCTTCGCAATCCCTTCGAACCGAATTGTCCAGTACCAGGAACGGCGCAGGAAATATATCAGCTAGTTCAAAAGGACAATGTGGCACAAAGGATAGGTACCCTTCAGGAGCCTGGACCTGGGATCCTCTGATCAACTAATCGAGCCAGGAAAAGCGCATCGGGGAAGAGATTACGAGACGAGGCGCGAACCTGCGCTCCGCGTAGGTAAGCTTCTCGGTCAGATCGATGAACGGCGGCCACATTCGCGGGGGGGCTTCGTGCTCCATGGGTTCGAACGGCAGATGCGCGATCGGGCTGCGCTTCAGCGGATCGGTGAGCAGAAACGTGACGAAGCACGCGAGCACCCCCGCGGCGAACGCCCGCCGAACGCTGTAGTTGGGCATCGTGAAGCCTCGGACGCGAAGCCGCGCTGTCACGTGACTAATTACGCCTAGCCAAACTCCACGCCTAGCCGAGTCTGGTCTGGTTGTGAGTGGAGGAGCTTCGAAATCCGACTGGAAGCAGACTAGAGTGCTTCCAGCTTTAGGGCGTGTAGCCTACGGTTTCGGAACTGAGTTCCGTCCGATTTTGGTGTGGTGACAGATATCGCCACAGCTCGCACGTGAGTTCGTTAACCGTGTTGCGAAGGATTCTTCAGTTTCGAAACTCGATGTTCCAGCGTCGTCCGGACGCCAGTTTCGAGCGGTCGTCCAGACGGCCGTTCGAGAATCTCCCTCCAGTTCTGTGCGAAATGAACACGCGAGAGAAAAGAACACCAAGTCAACGAACGAATTTACTCGCGCGCCTGAACCGCCAATCGCGGAAGTGACAATAACAAAATGTGTGCCGCGAGATTCGTCATGCCTGGCGTTTGATTGGCTTACGAAGAGTTGGGTTTCAATTACATATCGCACGTCGCTCAAACGTTTGAACGATGGAACATCCAGTTTCGAAACTCGATGTTCCACTGACGGACAGCAATCATAGTTGAGTTTCGAAACTCGATGTTCCAGCGACGAACGGAACTGGCGTATATCGAGTTCGGAACTGAGTTCCGGAACTAGGCCGACGAAGCCGTAGGCTACACGCCCTTAGAAATTTCACATCCGACGGGTGTGCTGCCTCTCCCGCTGTGAATGAGGAATTGGACGATTCAGATCTTCGGAATTTTGGCGAATATTCTCAATGTGTGGCTCCCGTCGCGAACCAGTGACGTCTGCATCTGACGGCCTGGCGACATCTCGCAGGCCTCAGGTCAGATCTGTGACCGGCGATTGACCTGCGAAAACAGTTCATTTCACCTTGCGAAAATATAAAGCTGAAGTTACTATCACACACCAGCGAGAACGGTACTACACCGCACGCTTTGTTTTTCGCACAAGACTCGGAACCTCCGCTACAGCCCTCTCGGGTATTATCACAGCACTGCATTCTTCGCAGAGAGCCCTCTCGGGTGCCTCCTCCAACCGACCTCACGAATCTGCGTGCTGGAGGCTCCTCCCTCCCTCCCTCCCCCCCATCCATCTCTGCCATTTCACCAATTTCGATTTTCCACCCTTGGGATTGCCGAGCATCAAAGACAGCCATGATGCTTGCTGGGCAATCCTGCAATTCCCGACTTCATTACTGTATTCAGATTCCCGCGCTTGTTTTATGGCAGTCAGAGAAACTCTGCTGACCCGAAGCGGAACCCCTGTCCTGTTCGTTCCTTGGTGATCGAGTAGCGTAACCCTAATTTCTGTCAGCATCGTTGGTCGACCACGTTCGGTCGGCCAGAGCAGTCGATCTGGTTATCACCCAGCCACTGAACCACCTGTTCAGTAAGCGAGCCGTTGAATGAAGGCCACGTCAGCGGAGCACGCATGGTAGGAGGCAAATAGGCTGAGGAGTCAACAAGCTCCACGATCTCGTCGTCGTTCACCCCTAAAGAACCGATCGCAGCCGTCCGTTCGGCGCCATGTCAGGCGACGTGGCGTGGAGGGGCCGCGCGGCAATGCAGCGGGAGGTCGCGGAGTTTCTCGTGAAGGAGCGCTACTTCCTCGCGGCGCTCGAGCTGCTGCACGAGCTCAGGGAGGATCGTCGCGAGGACGGTCAGGACAACCATGAAGCGTCGGAAACGACTCGCTTTCTCGAGCGCGTTTTTGCGGACGAGCAGCGATTTCCGCGCGACAAGATCGCGGCTGTCGCAGCTGTCGCAGCGGCTGCGAAACCACCAGGTTAGATGCTGCTCTTGTTCCCTTAGTTCAGGGGACGAAGCCCAGAGCAAGTTCTACCAACCTTGTTCTTACGTTTAAAGCCTACTAGGTCCAGGCTGTTTAAATCATCCACATTACTGAGCGGATGAGGGAAGTTCCTAGTGCCTTGCAACGGAATCTGGGTACGTAAGGCCTTCAGAATGCGGGTACTTTGGTGGAGGTCCTTCGTTTCGCGCGCAAGCAATTTCCTGCAGCCTGCTCGCCTCACTACAGGCCCTCCGTAGCCACATTGCTCATACCTTGTCCATTTGCCTCCATGCCCCTGCCTGCTCGCGCCGTTCCCGTGCCCGTTCTCATCTCAGCCAGTGTCGCGGCTCCCGCCTTGAACGGTGGAACTGGAGGGATTGAGGAGGCAGGGGTGGGTGGCGGAGATGGGCAGACGGCGGAGGACGATTCCCAGCCGTTGGATGCGCTGGGCGAGGACGAGAGGCGCGATCTGAACTTCGCAGTGAGGGACTATCTGGTGCAGGCGCGATACAAGCTGACCGCCATGACCCTGCAGGACGAGGCAAGCTGGCTCCCTCTGCCCACTCCCTCTGCCCTTCCTCCCCCTGCCCGTACCGTACCCATTATCGCCGCCTCTTGGCCTATTGCTCTCCCTTCCCGCTGACGCCCGTGTTATCCTCCTTCCTGGCCCGTGTCTTCTTCTCCTCCCCCCGGCCTTCTCCCCGCCCTTCTCCTGCGATCAGGTGGTGGATCAGGACTGGGATGACTGGGAGGACGGCCCTGCCAAGGCGGACAGCGCGCTCAGGCGCTATCTGAAGCACTACCTGCACCGGCGGGAGGCGCAGAAGAGTGTCGCCGCTGCTGGGCGCGCTGCTGCTGACCTGGCGGAGCTAAGGCGGGAGATGGACCTGAGACTGGCTGACGCTGCTCGGCAGAAGGCTGACGTGGAGGGGTCTCTGGCGACGGCCACTGCTGCTGTTGAAAGCCTCAAGGCCAAGGTGAGGAATTCCAGGGCCGAGAGTTGTTGCCTGCACTGCACTGCACCTACATCCTTTGTATTCGTACATACTGTTGACACCCTTGCAAGCTTCTACCCTGTTTGACACTCCGACTCTCCCACACTCTTAGAGTTCTCCGCATGCTCCACACTTCCACACTGTGAGCCCATCACTCCTCCACACCCACCCACCCCTTTCATACCACCTGCCCCTTTCCCCACCCGCCTGTCTCGCCTCCTCCTCGCAGCTGCAAGGCTTCGAGAGCGACAGGCAAGCACAGGAGAACGAGCTCCAGAAGCTAAGAGCAGAGCTCGATGCAGCTTCCGAGAAGGTTCGTGGCCGTGGCGCATCCGAGGCGTCTCTCCTTGCCCGGGCGGAGGGAGCAGAGCGCCAGCTGGAAGCCGCACAGGCTGACGTGTCCTCGCTACGTGCTGACGTGGCGTCGTTGCGAGCTGACGTGTCATCGGCACGCGACGAGCTGGCAGCAGCTCAGCATGAGTCGGCATCCTTACAGGGCAAGATCAAATCCATGGAGGCAGCAGCTGAAGCAGCGCGGGCGGAGCAGGACGAGGAGTGGGAGAAGGCGGGCAGGTGGCAGCCGAGGCAGAGAGGACGACAGAGAGGCTCCAACGAGAGGTGCAAGCAGCCAGGAAAGCAGCAGCCGACGCTGAGGCGAGAGCAGAGGAACTGAAAGCACAGGTGGAGCAGGCTCGGGCAGAGGCTGAGGCGCAGTTAGCGACTGCAAGGGCGGCAGCAGCCGAGGCCAAGGAGGAAGCAGAGGCGAAGGGGAAGGCGGAGGAGGTTGCCAGGGCTGAAATCGCTCGCGTGCAGGAGGTGGCGCGAGGGGAGATTGCGCGGATTCAAGGCGAGCTGAAGGCGCTGAGGGACGCGCAGAGGGAGCAGGGAGGTGATAGCGGGGCAGCTGCTGCTGCTGCTGCTGCTGTATCTGCTGGTGGTGTGCAGGGCAGGGAGGGGGAGAGGCTGAGGGGAGGATTGCAGAGTTGCAGCAGAGGCTTGACGAGGCGAAGCGGGAGGCTGAGGCGGCCGCAGCACAGGTGGAGCGGGTCAGGGGTGAGATGAGGGACGCTGGAGAGCAGGCGCGGGCAGAGAGGGAGAGGGTGGAAGCTGAGGCGAAAGCAGAAGTGGAGCGGGCTCGAGGGGAGGTGGAGAAAGCGCGAGAGGAAGCGGAGAAGGTGCGAGAGGAGGCGAAGGAAGCGAAGGGTGAGTTGGAGAGAGCACGAGGGGAGCTGGAGAGAGCCAAGGCCGAGCAAAGGGCGGGAGGAGCGGGCGAGGGAGGAGTGGGAGGAGGAGGAGAGGAGCAGGAGCGGGAGGGCGTGCATGGGAGGAGTCATCCATGGAGGTGCTGCTAGAGGCGGAGAGGAAGATAGTGGAGCTTCAGAGAGAGGTGGATGGCGCCAAGAGAGAGGCGGATGAGGCGAGGAGGGAGGCGGCAGAGGCCAAGGCGCAGGCTGAGACCTCCGCCAAGGCTGCTGCTGCCGCTGCTGCTGCGGCTGCATCGGCTGCAGCTGCCTCTGCTGTATCTAGCGGTCCGGCTGCTGGTGCTGGCGGTGTCAAACCGGCAGAAGTTGGTTCAAGTGGGGAGGAGACGAGAGGGGAGGAGAAGAGAGGGGAGGCGGAGACGATGGAGGTGGCGCGGAAGGGGGGCAGCAGGGCGGAGATGGCAGCAGAGGACGAGGCGGTGGTGTGCCTGCTGGCGGAGTGCCTCCCGCGAATCATCCCCAACGTGCTCATCAACCACCGTGAGGTACCAGGGTGCTACTTAAGCAACCACCAAGAAGTACCCGGGTGCTTGCCTTCGAGTGGTGTCCGACGCTGCTGCCGCTCATCATGTGCGCCGTCAAGAAGCACCCCCTGGAAGCAGTCAGGCAACTATAGCCTAGCCCTCTCTCTCCCCCACCTCCCCCCTCCCCCATTCCCCCCCTTACTCCCCCCCATATACCCCCTCTTACTCACTCATCCCCATGGCCAGGAGCTGTTGCCGCTCATCATGTGCGCCATAGAGAAGCACCCCCTGGAAGCTGCTCGGAAGGCGCAGGTGCAGTGGCTGTTCAACCTGCTGAAGAAGCCTGATGAGGAGCAGAGGAGCGCCGTGGTGGCGGCGTGCTTGGAGCTCAAGGAGAGAGTCGGGGAGAGGCGGACCGAGACAGAGATACTCAGCCAGTGCTGGGATGAGGTGAGATGGGCGGGGGGGGAGGGGAGGGAAGGGGAGAAAGAGAGGGCACGGAGTAGATGAAAGGGTGTTGGAGGGTAGAGAGGGGGAGGGGGATTGGCTAAGGGCTGCTCATTCAACCTGCTGGAGAAGCATGACGAGGAGCAGAGGAGCGCCGCCGTGGTGGCTGCTTGCCTGGTGCTCCAGGAATGAGTGGGGGAGATGCGGACCGAGACAGAGATCAGTTGAACAGTTAGGGCAGTTGAACAGTTAGGCAGTTGAACAGTTAGGACAGTTAGGACAGTTGAACAGTTAGGGCAGTTGAACAGTTAGGACAGTTGAACAGTTAGGGCAGTTGAACAATTAGGACAGTTGAACAGTTAGGGCAGTTGATCAGTTAGGACGGTTGAACAATGAGGACAGTTAGGGCAGTTGAACAGTTAGGACAGTTGAACAGTTAGGGCAGTTGAACAGTTAGGGCAGTTGAACAGTTAGGGAAGTTGAACAGTTAGGACAGTTGAACAGTTAGGGCAGTTGAACAGTTTGGATAGCTGAACAGTTGGGGAAGTTGAACAGTTAGGACAGTTAGGGCAGTTGAACAGTTAGGGAAGTTGAACAGTTAGGACAGTTAAACAGTTAGGGCAGTTGAACAGTTCGGACAGTTGAACAGTTAGGGCAGTTGAACAGTTAGGGCAGTTCAACGACAGTTAGGGCAGTTGAACAGTTAGGACAGTTGAACAGTTAGGGAAGTTGAACAGTTAGGGCAGTTGAACAGTTAGGGCAGTTGAACAGTTAGGACAGTTGAACTGTTAGGGCAGTTGAGCAGTTATAGCTGTTGAACAGTTTGGGGGACCACTCACGGGACCGGACCACTCATAGGACCGGATTACTCATGGGACCAGACCACTCACCGGACCAGACCACTCACGGGACCAGACCACTCACGGGGCCGGACCACTCACGGGACCGGACCACTCACGGGGCTGGACTACTCACCGGACCGGACCACTCACAGCCGGACCACTCACAGGACTGGGCCACTCACAGCCGGACCACTCACAGGACTGGGCCACTCACGGGACCGGACCACTCATGGGACCGGACCGCGCCATTCCCTCTTTTCCTTCCTTCTTCTTTCCTCCATGTTCCCCCCCACCAGATGAACCACAAGAACGAGGAGAAGCGGCTGCTGGTGGTGCAGCTGTGCCGCGAGATGGCCCCCCTCATGCCGCGCAGGGTGCAGGACGCGGTGCTGCTGCCCATGCTGCTGCAGCTCGTGACAGACAGCGCTGCTGCAGTGAGAGAGGCCGTTGCTCTCAACCTCGCCCCTCTGCTGCCGCTCTTTGAGGACACTGCCGTGCTGCCCAAGGTGAGACGCGGCTGTCTTTCCGATCGCGATTGGTTCCTGCTCCTTGGCTCTCTCTTTCTCCTGCACCGAGCCTGTTTCTCCATCAACCCTGCCCTCCATCTCTGACTTCCATTGTCTGTGCTTTGATTGAGTGTGTTGTATCGCATATGCTTGATTTCCGTGCTCGCCCCAGGTGGAAGAAGCCCTGTTCGAGCTGGTGTGTGTGTGTGACACGGACGGGGGGATGGTGGAGGAGAGGAGACCCTCAAGTCCCTTCCATCTCTCTACCTTCCATCCCCTCTGTGCCTAACACATGTCCTTGTACCTCACGTTCTTGTATCTCATGTGCTTGTACCTCATGTCCGTGTACCTCATGTGCGTGTATCAGGTGGAGGAGGCCATGTTCCAGCTGGTGTGTGACACGGACGGGGGGGTGGTGGAGGAGACGCTCAAGACCCTGCTGCCTGCCTTTGTGGCCTGGGCTAAATCCCGCCGCCACCCTTCGGGCAGGTGCTGCGAGCTGTGATGCATCGACTCATGGCGCAGATACAGGTGAATCCAAGGGGGGAAAGAAGGGTTGGAGGCAGGGAGAGGAAGAGGGGTTGCCCTTGCTGTGGCCTGGGCCAAGTCCCGCTGCCACCCCTTTGGCCAGGTGCTGCGAGCTGTGATGCATCGACTCATGGCGCAGATACAGGTGGGATGCAATGGGGGAGGGGAGATGGATGTAGTGGGGGGAAGGAGGGGTTGCTGATGTCGCCTGGGCCAAGTCCTTCCACCACCCCTTCGGCGAAGTGCTCATAGCAGTCAAGCAGCAACTCATGGCGCAGATATATGCTGCTTCATTCCTCCCTGCCCTATGCCCCCCGAACCTCCAGAAATGCCCTGCCGTGTCGGCTGTGGAAGGCTCGGCGGAGGCTCGGCTGCGCATGGTGGGGGAGAGGGAGCGGTGGAACATCGACGTGCTGCTTCGGCTGCTCACCGAGCTTCTCCCGGAGGTCCGGCACGTGGCTGTCAAGACCTGCCCCGAAGCTATCCTCGCCCTCGACAAACCTTCTCCCACTGCTGCAGCTGATACGGCTGCTGCTGAGGCTGGTCGTGCTGGTGGTGGTGGTGATGGGGGTGCAGGATCAGAGGGAGGGGGGGAGGGGGCGGATGCGTTGGGCCAGAGGAGTGCTAGTGGGCGGCATCGTTCGGCAGCTTCTTTGAGTGGGATAGAGTACGAGGAGACGTTCTTCACTGACGCTCTGCTGAAGCGATATGGCAGGTGCGTGGGGCATGGTAGTGAGACATGTTATTGGAAATGCTAGTGAGGCATGTTATGTGAAAATGCTAGTGAGACATCTGATAACGGGTGAGACACAGTATGTTCAGGGGCTGCTTGCCCCTAGAGTACCCTCACCTCACGTTCCCTTCAAATCCGTTTCTCCTATCAGCGCGGGATTGGTTGGGCCTGCCCGCCTTTGACAGTACTCTACCGCATGACTTAATACCCCTTTTTCTCTACTCTCCCTCCTTTTCTCCCTCTCTCTCCTACCCACCAGGGCGGGTGTGGACTGGCTGGCGTTTGACTGGATGCCCATGGACTGCCTGCCCACCCTCGTGCTGCTCTACTTCCTCCCACCCCTCACACCCCTCCCACCCCTCCCACCCCTTCTTCTCCCCCTAATCCCCCCCTCCTGCCTCCTCCCTGTCAGTGCGGGTGTGGACTGGCCCGCCTTTGACTGGATGCCCATGGACTGCCTGCCCACGCTTGTGCAGCTCGCCCTCATGCTGCCGCCCAAGGAAGAGAGACTGCGCATCCGCATCTGCACGGTGGGTCCGTTTGTCTGCACATGGGGCACAGTGGGTCCATTTGTCTGCACATGAGGCTCGGTGGGTCTGCTTATCTGCAGCATGGTGCATGGTGAAAGGGGCATGGTGTATGGCGAGTCTGCTTATCTGCAGCATGGTGCATGGTGAAAGGGGCATGGTGCATGGCGAGTCTGCTTATCTGCATGGTGCATGGTGAGTCTGCTTTATCTGCATGGTGCATGGTGAGTCTGCTTATCTGCATGGTGCATGGTGAGTCTGCTTATCTGCATGTTGCATGGTGTGTCTGTTCGTGGACAGTCAATGGCTTTGTCCTGGGTCGATGGGGTCATGCAGGGTCAGTGGAGAGTCGACAGGGATCTTCCTCCCCCTCTTCGCCCTTCCATCCCTTTTGAGTCGACTCAAAAGCAGTCTTCCTCCCCCTCTTCGCCCTTCCATCTCTTTCCACAGCGACTAAATAACTCTCCCCCTACCCCTCACTCTCCACCTCTCCCTAAATCCCCCCTCACCCCACACGGTCCCACCCCCACCCCCCACGGTCCCACCCCCACCCCCGTGCCCCGACAGCTGCTGCTGACGGTGAGCAAGCTGTTTGGGCGCTTCTACCTCATGGCGCTGCTGCTGCCGGTCTTCCTCACTGCCGCCGGCCACTCCATCGACACCTCGCACCTGCCGCCCAAGATCGCATCCAGCATCGAAGGTACGAACGTCACAGAATGTGCGAACAGATACCCCTTACCGTAGATTACCTTAACCTAAATCCATCGGCACCCCGCACCTGCCTGCCGCCCAAGATCGCCTCCAGCATTGAAGGTACAGAATGTATGGCTTCTTTAGAAGGGCCTCTTCGACTCTAATCTCTTTTATTCTCTCGTTAGCCAAGTCCTCGAGTAATTTCAGCCGTCCCTCGTTTTCCTCCCCTTATCCTTCCACCCCATTCCCCCTCCCCTCCCACCACACTCCACACTTCCTCGTATGTTTGGGTGTCTGTACGTTTGGGTGTCTGTATGTTTGGGTGTCTGTATGTTTGCGTGTCTGTATGTTTGCGTGTCTGTATGTTTGCGTGTCTGTATGTTAGCGTGTCTGTATGTTAGCGTGTCTGTATGTTTGGGTGTCTGTATGTTTGCGTGTCTGTATGTTTGGGTGTCTGTATGTTTGGGTGTCTGTATGTTTGCGTGTCTGTACGTTTGGGTGTCTGTATGTTTGGGTGTCTGTATGTTTGGGTGTCTGTACGTTTGGGTGTCTGTATGTTGGGGTTGTCTGTATGTTTAGGTCTCTGTATGTTTGGGTGTCTGTACGTTTGGGTGTCTGTATGTTTGCGTGTCTGTATGTTTGGGTGTCTGTATGTTTGGGTGTCTGTACGTTTGGGTGTCTGTATGTTGGGGTGTCTGTATGTTTGCGTGTCTGTATGTTTGCGTGTCTGTATGTTTGGGTGTCTGTATGTTTGGGTGTCTGTATGTTAGCGCGTTCGTATGTTAGTGTGTTCGTATGTTAGTGTGTTCGTATGTTAGTGTGTTTGTATGTTAGTGTGTTTGTATGTTAGTGTGTTCGTATATTAGTGCGTTCGTATGTTAGAGTGTTCGTATGTTAGCGCGTTCGTATGTTAGTGTGTTTGTATGTTAGTGTGTTCGTATATTAGTGTGTTTGTATGTTAGTGTGTTTGTATGTTAGTGTGTTTGTATGTTAGTGTGTTTGTATGTTTGCGCGTTCGTATGTTAGTGTGTTCGTATGTTAGTGTGTTCGTATGTTTGTGTGTTCGTATGTTAGTGTGTTCGTATGTTAGTGTGTTTGTATGTTAGTGTGTTCGTATGTTAGTGTGTTTGTATGTTTGCACGTTCATATGTTAGTGTGTTTGTATGTTAGTGTGTTCGTATGTTAGTGTGTTCGTATGTTAGTGTGTTTGTATGTTAGTGTGTTCGTATATTAGTGTGTTTGTATGTTAGTGTGTTTGTATGTTAGTGTGTTTGGGCCCAGCAGCCCCCCTTTGGCGTCTCTCGCGCGTGTGCGTGCTCCCCCTGCTGCTGGCGGGCGTGCTGCCTCCCCTTTCCCTGCCCTCACCTCACCCGTCCCTTACCCTGCCATCCTGCTCCCCGTCTTCCCATCGCAGTGCTGCGCCCAGCAGGCCCCCCCTTGGAGCGCCTGTCGCGCATGTGCGTGCTGCCGCTGCTGCTAGCGGGTGTGCTGGGCTCACCCAACATGCGCGAGGGCTACCTCTTCAAGTACCTGCGAGAGTGGGTGGTTTCCACGTGCGCCCGCTCCGGTGCCTGGTCGCCGGCCTCCACGCCTGAGCTCATTGAGGCTGTCCGCTTCCTCTGGTGAGTTGGGCTCTCTCTTAAATTGGGGCTCTTTCTTACATTGGGGCTCTTTCGCATTGGGGCTCTTTCGTTGCATTGGGGCTCTTTCGCATTGGGGCTGAGCGCATTGGGGCTGTTGGCAACCTCACATTCTTGTGCTGAATGCACAAGTCTATTTTTGAGGTGCCTCAAGAATAGACTCCTCTCACTGAATGCAGAAGCCAGACTCTTCTCCGTGCCGCCCTCCTGTTCCCCAGCCTGTTTGAGGAGCACCGTGAGACGTTGAGCAGTGTGGGGTGGGAGCTGGTGGTCAACCAGGCGCCAGCCGTTCGCATCACAGCCGCCGTCATCTTCCAGACGCTGGTGAGCTCTCATTCATGCATTCACGCGCTCTCGCTGTTACGCATGTTGCTTAGTAAGCCTCTCCCACACACACTCACCAGACGCCACGCCAGCCGTGCGCATCACAGCCACCGTCATCTTCCAGACCCTGGTGAGCCGGCACCCATTCCCGCCCTCGCTGTTGGTCACGCATGCCAATATGGGTGCCATCCCACCGTCATTGTCCAGACGCGGGTGAGCTGTCGCTCATTCCCGCACCCTAGTAAGGCTCTCATTTATGCACGCTAGTAAGGCACTCTCTCCCCACACAACATACTCAGGTGGCCAACTAGGCGCCAGCCGAGCACATCACAGCTGCAGGTCATCCTCGGGACGCTAGTCACTGAACTGCCTCTCCCCTTCCCACTCCCACTGGCTCTACTCAGGTGTCGTTTGTGCACGTGTAGCGAGTGCGCCAGCAGCTGCTGCGAGCTCTGTTTGAAGTGATCTCAGCTCAGTGACCACTCTGCTCTCTCACTTCACCTCCCGCCACCAGGCGCCCTTTGTGGACGTGAAGCGGGTGAGCCAGCAGGTGCTGCCAGCGCTGATCACCCTGGGGTCGGACCCCGTGCCGGAAGTGAAATACTCCACCATCGCTGCCCTGGGGTCCGTGGCGCAGCAGTTCAAAGAGGCCACGGTGAGTGCGAGACAGGTAGAGGGGATTGAGTACAAGGGCAGATGGACTTTTTCCTGTGTATTCACGTGTCCATATGCTTATTAGTGTTCCCTTGCCCTCCATCCATCCATCTGTCCCTGCACCAATCAGATCGTGGATAAGATCCGAGTGCAGATGGACTCATTCCTGGAGGAGGGCTCTCACGAGGCGGTGATAGCGGTGCTCAAGACGCTCACAGCGGCTGTGCCGGTGACCTCCAACACGCTGAGGGAGTACTCGCTGCACAAGGTGGCTGCCATGGCCGCCGGACCCCTGCTGGCTACTGGCACCGTGGCGAAACGCAGGGAGAAGGCTGAGGCGCTCTGCTCTGCTGTCAGGGCACTGGAGCACACAGGTGCGATCAGGACAGGGCACTGGAGCACACAGTTGCGATCAGGACAGGGCACTGGAGCACACAGGTGCGATCAGGACAGGGCACTGGTTAAGGCACTGGTGAAGGCAACACCACGGTACAGTAGACACAGAGGGTATGGGGAATAGTCACAGCGGTGGTGCCGGTCACCTCCAACACTCTGAGGGAGAACTTTCTGGTCAAGGTGCCTGCCGTGAAGATAGCCCGTGCACTACCCTTCCCCGGGACACTACCCTTTCCCGGGACACTACCCTTCCCCGGGACACTACCCTTTCCCGGGACACTACCCTACCCCGGGACACTTCTCTTCCCCGGGACACTACCCTTCCCCTGGACACTACCCTTCCCCTGGACACTACCCTTCCCCAGGACACTACCCTTTCCCACTCAAACCCATGTTCGACCCTCCCTGCCTTCTTCTCACTCCCTCACTGTGTCCCAGCAGAGATGACAGCGCAGCAGACGAACACGCTTGTCCACCCGGCAGTCTTTGTTCAAGAAGCCTGAGTTCCTCAGCACGTGTTGAGAATTCTCAAAGCACGCCTCCCCCTCCCCCCATTTCCCCCGCCCCCCACCCACCTCCTGTCCCAACAGAGATGGCGCCACAGCAGACCAACACGCTCCTCCTCCCAGTAGTGCACGCATTGATCAAGGAGCCAGAGCTCCTCAGCAAGTGTTCAAAATCCTTAAAGCACACCTCCTGCTTCCCGCCCTCCCCTCCTGCTTCCCGCCCTCCCCTCCTGCTCCCTGGCCTCCCCGCCTTCTCCCCCCCCACCCACCCACTCCTTGCCCCACCAGAGATGACGCCGCAGCAGACCAACATGCTCGTCCTCCCGGCAGTGCACAGGCACTGCTCAAGGAGCCCGAGCTGCTCAGCATGTGTTGATATTTCTCATGCACGCCTTCCCCCCTTCCCCCTCCCCCTGCCCCACCAGAGATGACGCCGCAGCAGACCAACACGCTGTTCCTGCCAGCGGTGCAGGCACTGCTTAAGGAGCCCGAGCTCCTCAGCACGAGCAGCAGGGAGGCCCTGGAGGCCATTCGCCGCGACCGCTGGGTCGGGAAGATGGAGGACCTGGGGAAATACGTCGGGAAGAGCTTGTTTGGGTTTGAGTCTTCCGGGCAGAATAAGAATCTGTTTGGCGGTGGACTGCTTGGCACGGCATCGACTGGGGGCGGGGCGGCGAAACCTGCGGGGGCCGGGGGGGGAGGGGCGAGTGGAGGGGGGGCGGCAAGTGCTGCAAGCACTTTTAGTGGAGCATTCAGTGGGGCTTTTGGCAACAAGCGGTAAGGGTAAGGGTTATAGAATGCGTAATATAAGCGATTCTGGCCCATGATGTGGCAATCCATTGCAAGGGTACTATATGTAAACTGCTACCTGACCAGTATTCAGGCTGAACGAAACAAATGTTTTCTTATATTATCTGCTGAAATTCGATATGGTTGGGTATTTTGATTTTTTTTCCTGCTTTCCTACTAAATGTTGCTGGTTCCATGTGTTAGATATTAGAGTCTTCGTACACTTTATACGGTGTAGATTTCGTTGCCGAGGCGCTGCTGAAGAAATGCAGGCAAGTATCGTCACCTATTGGCCAGTTTCGGCGCTCATGTGTCAGATCCCGCACCGCACCGGCCATCGCGCGCAGTTGTCTGACTGGCCGAGTTACAGAGGGCGCGATGCGAAGCAGATCGTATCTGGGCAGGCGAAGGCCATCCTCCAATTGGCCGTCGTGTTCGCCCAAAAGGAAGCACAGACTGCCCGTGACTTGCAACCGACTGCAAATTTTCTCCACCTCCCGAAAATCGGGCCAAACACCTGTAAAATCGCCTCCAATCCAATGTTGTTACTCTTTCCAGAAACCTGCCCGCACTGCCCAAGGGTTCGGGGTGGATTTGCAGTTTCTGTGTCCTCGAGTTCGGATTCCAGAGAGGTTGAACAGGGCCAGGCGATTTCAAGAGAGTTTCTGCGCGGTTCGTTGCGGTGACCTTCGAGCCTGACCAGATGCGTGAGGCTTATTGCAGAAGCTTCTAAGCTTGCCTGCTCGGGTCGGCGTCGGGGAAAGCTTACCTACCAGCCGTACCTAGCACTCTCACTAATATACACAGCCTAATTCCAACGACTTTTTCCCAGGCGCTTCAACAGAACTGCGACTATTTGTTTCAGCAACCCGACTCCTGCGAGTAGATCAGAACCAGGTTAATGGTGCCTCGTACAGATCGTCTGCTAGTGTGCCACGTTCCACCATTAGTGCTGACTTCAACTTTTGGGTTCGTATGGTTTGAGCATCGACGGCCGCGCGTAGCACATAGACCCAGCGTCAAGAGGGAAAAGTAGACAGGATAGCCCGTCACCGGTCACCGGTGCAGCACGGGCAAAAAAAGACAGTTTCGAAGATCTCAGCACCTCTGCATGCGGCAGGAACTTTGCGAACTTGCTAGAGAGTTCGTTTCCTCCGCGACGTGCGCATTTTTAATAACGAACGACCGTCTGCTTGTTTGCTAGGCCGCGTTATTAGGTCCCTCATTAATTCTTTAACTAGCTTCAGGGAAGCGCGAATGGGGAGTGGGGAGGAGGGTCCAGCTATGAGCCGCGACGGGCAGCCGAAAAAACAAGAGCACTTATCTAGAAGCGAGCAGCCCACTCTCCAAGCCGAGCAGCCGACTGTCCGAGCCAAGCAACCAGCCCGCACCAAAGCCTCAATCCGAGCGTCCTTCCACTGGCGCGTCGCACTCCCCGCGCTCGTCGCGGCGACGCTCCTCGCGTTCCTATTGGCCGATCCGCTCCGACTGAGCCCCGTGGCGCGCCTCCCGTTCGACCCAGTCGTTATCGACATCGCGCCGCCGCCGCCGCGCTCCGTCAGGGACCCTCTTAATCGCCTCGCTGCAGCTGAGATCAGGTAAGGCATTGGGGTGACTTTTGAGTCGACTCAAAAGTCACCTCGTTACAATGTCACCTCGTTACAATGTCACCTCGTTACAATGCCACACAACACTTTCGCTTTAATGAGGTCAGGTAAGGCATCGGTCCCGAGAGCCTGGCGTGGGACTTGACGAGGCAGGCGGCGCGTAGTAATCTCTTACCTACAATGTACTATTCCACATTATTCGCATCCCCGTTCCCTTGTCGCTCCCCGCAGAAATCCCTATCGTCAGTCGTTCCGTTATCTATCCTCGTTATACGCATCCCCGTTACCCAGGTACGAGGGCGAGGCGTTCGGCCCGGAGAGCCTGGCGTGGGACGTGGAGGGGCGCGGGCCGTACGCGGCAGTGGGCGACGGGCGAGTCGTGCGACGCACGGCCGACGGCAGCGGCTGGGAGACCTTCGCATGGGCGTCGCCGCTGCGGTGAGCGATGCTGATGCTCTCGGGCGCTGGGTCTGGGCAGCAAGCCGTGTACGGAGCACTGGTGAATGCCGATGGTTTCTCTTTAGAGCTCCCTGACTGGTGAATGCTGCGCTGATGCTGCCTAGAGGAACACGGATGCTCTTGCTGCATGCCATGCGCTCACCCTGTCGGAGTGGGATGCTTCGCCTCAACTTCCCTCGCCCTTCTTTATCCCTCCCTCCCTCCCTCCCTCCCTCCCTCCCTCCCTCCCTCCCTCCCTCCCTCCCTCCCTCCCTCCCTCCCTCCCTCCCTCCCTCCCTCCCTCCCTCCCTCCCTCCCTCCCCCCCTCCCTCCCTCCCTCCCTCGCTCCCTCCCTCGCTCCCAGCACGCCCGAGCTCTGCGACAGGCATCCCCCTTTTGGCTCCAAACGTTCTGCCGCGTCGCAGGAGCTGCTCGGCCCAGTAGAAACGCGGCAAGCGGCAGCAGCAGCGGCGGCACTGTCGCCTTCGGAGAGAGTCGCGACGGCGTTCGGCGTGTTCCCCAGCGACGTGCCTCTCGCGCAACCCACCCCACCCTCCCCCGCCCGAACCTCGTTGGAAGGCTCGTCAGAAGGCCCGGCTCAGAACGGCCCTTCCTCTGACGCACCTTCCGAACTAGCCGCCTCTCTTGCCGCAGAGGCTTCCGAGGTAGAGTCTTCCCAGCAGGGGCAGCAGGGGCCGCAGCCCCACCAAGCCGAGCAGGACCACTACTCCCACCCGGACCCCTCCCTGGAGCACATCTGCGGGCGGCCGCTGGGAATGCGGTTCCATCCGGTGACGGGCGAGCTGTGGTTCGCGGATGCGTACTTCGGGCTGTGCAAGGTGGGGCGGCAGGGCGGGCAGGCGCACGTGGTGGTGGCACACGTGGACGGGCGGCCGCTGCTGTTCGCCAACGACCTCGATATTGCCGCCACCGAGGATGGGAATGGCACCGTCTACTTCACCGACACCAGCACGCGCTTCCAAAGGAGGTGAGGGAAAGAGAGGGGGGGTGGAAGGGGGGGGGAGGGGGGTTACACAGACTATAATAGGACAGCAGCACCCACTTCCAACGGAGGTGCGGGGAAGGGGGGGAGGAGGGGGGGCAGGGGGGGCGCGAATGCGGAATATATGCTGTGATATGACGCCAGCTCACGCTTTCAACACAGGTGTGGGGTGGGGTGGGGTGGGGGGCTGTGTGGGGTGGGAGGGAAAGAGATAAGGCGGAATTGGCTGTGAGGGGACAGCAGCATGCGCGTCCAAGGAGAGTCCAAGGGGATGGAGGGGGAAGAGAAAGGAGGTTGCACAGACTATCCTGTGAGGTGCTTTTGAGAATTCTCAAAAACAGACTATCCTGTGAGGTGTTTTTGAGAATTCTCAAAAACAACTATCCTGTTTTTGAGACACCAGCACGCGCTTCCACCATGGATGAGGGTGGAAGAGGGGGGAGGGCGACCTTTGAGAATTCTCAAAAATCGACCTCACTCTTCTCCCTCCATCCAACAGCATGGCAGGGCAGACGGGCTCTCCTCTCTGTCGCTCTCCCTTCTCTTCCACCGCCGCAGGGACTACTACGTGGTGATACCGGAGGGCAGAGCAGACGGGCGGCTGATGCAGCTGGACCTGGCTTCCCCTCTCTCCTTCCCCTCCCCCCCCTGCCTCTATCACCCCGCCAGGGACTACTACATCGCCATAGCGGAGGGCAGGGCGGACGGGCGGCTGATGCAGCTGGACCTGGCAACGGGGCGGGTGACCGTGCTGGTGGAGGGGCTCGCATTTGCTAACGGCGTGGCGCTCTCGCGAGACAAGTCTTTCCTCGTGTTATGTGAAACCACCACGCTCAGGTAAGTATCAACACCGGATCGGTGCGTTATCTGTGTCTACTGTCTGCTGGTGGGGCTGCTTTCGCTAGCAGCGAAACCACCACGCATAGGTGAGTATTCTCGATCTGGTGTCTGGGTGTCTGTGCTGCATCCGTGACCACTGAATGCACTGTGTGCTTGCATGCTGGTTTCATTGGTCATTGTTCAGCTTGACCTGCTCGATGCTCTTGTGCATGTGTCGAAGCCACCCATACTGGCATCCAGGGATCATTCTTCAGGTGCTGATAAGGGTGTGTTTTCATTGGTCACCACCATATTTTCTGTCTTCCATGCTCCCCGTCCAGATGCCATCGGTATTGGCTGAGAGGGCCAAAGGCAGGGACTCGTGAGGTTTTTGTCGTGCTTCCCGGCATGCCCGACAATGTTCGACTCAACCCGCGTGGGCGGTTCTGGATAGCTGTCCACTCGCGAAGAAAATTCTTGCTGGGTGGGTGGTGCTTCGATTTAGGGATGCTTCAAGTAATTAAGGGCTTTGTGAGTAAACTAAAAACGCAACCCGTTGAGTCGTGCTTTTTGTAGAATGCAAACAGCTGCATTGTTTTGGTTTTTGCATATTAGGAAGCAAGCCCAAGTTAGTCGGGTGACTCCCTGGAATAGTGGTCCTCACATTCTCCTCCGCGTCACTCCTCTCCTCTTTCCGCGTCACGCAACTTGGTGCACAATCCTGTTCTCACCTCCTCCCTCCCTTGCTCCATGTCCCACTCCCTCTCTCCTTGCATTGTCCTCGACCCCTTCCGTTCGCCCCCTCCTGTTCGCCCTTTCCTTGGGCCTTTTCTCATGTGCTTGCATCCGGCTTTACCTTGGCAGGCATGGTGGCTCGACGACCATGGCTGCGCTCCCTCTTCCTTGCTCTGCCAATCAGCATCAAGACGGCGCAACAAATGTCCATGGGCCGACCGAATGGGATTGTGGTGGAGGTGGATGAGAATGGCATGGTAACTGATGTGCTTGAAGACAGGTTGGGGGAAGCTGTGAGGTCGGTGAGTGAGGTGGAGGAGAGAGACGGGAAGTTGTGGTTTGGATCCGTGGTATTGCCTTTTATTAGTGTGCTAGATTATCGGCCTCTAGTAGCAATAAGTACAGTTGCGCACAGTGCAACTACTATATAACACATGTTGCGCTGTAAATTAGTTTCCAAATAATGACCATGATGTCTGTATCGGGCCACATTGTACGTGAAATTTTGCTGACGTTTTTTGCCCACCCTCCACCGCAATTCCTTGCGGCACACAGCGACAAGTGGAACATCCATTCCTGCGAAGCACTACTCGCTGTCGCAAACCCTGAACGAAGACGTGCGACAGCAGGCTCTGTTGCTGTCAGAATCGACGACTTTCTCTGACAACCCAATCACACGGCGTTTCCCATGCGACATTGAGCTTCGCCAGCCAGCGACACTGTTGCTCCCTTGTTGGAAACAGCAGGAGGAAAACAACGCCCCCAGTTGTCGCAGAGCTGTTTTGGAGGCCACTTGCACAGCCTTGCTTGGCGACCAAGGCCTCGCAGCACCGACTATCTGCGATTGGAGGGCGTCGTGGTTGCGAACGAGTCGCATTCATTTTTCAACACACTGCTACACGCCTCATGAGGACAGGGATGTGGTTACGGGGTCGCACACCACGTCAGCTGTCGCAATTTTTGAGAGGTACGATGCTTCCTCGCCTACATTTGCGACTGCATTCGTCGTCGCATTCATTTATTTCAAATCTGAACCGTCTCCGACATCATCGCAGACCTCTCCTCAGTCATTGTTTTCTCCCCACATACCAATTGCCCGTCGCCCGCCGTCGTAGCTCACCGACTTTTGGTCTCTCTGCCAAACTCATTTGGCCAGAAATTCATCGCTCTCTCGTAGTCGCCCAGTCGCGCAGTCGTTCAGTTGTTCAGCATTGTCAGCCACAATCGCTGTGCCGTCACACTACCCCCTCTCCTTATTTCTGCGATTTTCTCTGATCGCCTGGAAGCAATGGTTGCAGCAGCGATGGCCGCCGCAGCAGCGGCTGATCAGCAGGCATCTGCTTTCCGCGTTTCCTTGTTCTCCCTCGCGTTTACTTTCTTCGTCTTCCTCGTCACAGACCCGCTTCGGCTTCGCCCTATAGCTAATCTCCCCTTCCAAGCCGCACCGATCCCCTTATCACCGCGTCGCCTCCCCATCCCTGCGGATCAAGAGAACCGCCTCGCCAACGCTCATCTCAGGTGCATTCCCTCTTCCCGCAGTGAAACTCGTTTCTTCGGTTCGTCATTCATCCCGCGACCTTTTTCTCTAGTTCGTCGCGAGGAGGACAATATGTCGCCTAGAACAGATGACTGACGTATACCTTCGTTTTTTTTTTTTTTTCGCGCGCGCGTCTGTGTTGGGCGCACAGGTACGCGGGAGAGGCGTTCGGCCCGGAGAGCCTGGCATGGGACCTCGACGGACGAGGGCCCTATACCGGCGTCAGTGACGGGCGAATCCTGCGACGATCGGCGGACGATAGCGGATGGGAAACGTTCGCACACGCGTCGCCGTACTGGTAAGCCTTTTGCACGTCTTGTGCCGATTACCTCGCATTAAGGAGCCTCATGAGTCATCACACCTGATCGCGCGTCACACCCGCTGGGCTTCTCTTGAAATTGCTGTTTAGCTTCTGTCAAACCCCTCTCGCAGGTCATCCGAAGTGTGCGACCCCGTCGCACGGGTGCAACCTTCCTCGTTCTCCTCCGCCGTCGCATTCTTATCTGGAGCCGTCGAGATTTCTGCCGACGCGGCCAATATCTATACCCGCCCCGTTCTCAACGGCTCCCTTGACCATACCAATTATAGTATAGGCCCCATCAGCGGGCTTCTCCAAGAACCCGATAGTAGATTGGCTGGATCCAGCAGCTTTTCCCCCGTCCCCGCTATAGACAGCCCGGCTAAGGGTCGAGTCGGGCCAAAGTTGGCCACGGAGCACATCTGCGGCCGTCCGTTGGGGTTACGATTCCATCCGGTAACAGGCGAGCTTTTCTTCGCGGATGCGTACTTCGGCATTTTCAAGGTTGGGAAAAAAGGCGGGAAGGCTCGAGTGGTCGTGGATCGGGTGGAGGGTCGGAAGCTGCGGTTTTCGAATGACGTGGCTATTGACGCGGATAACGAGAACGGTACACTGTATTTCACTGACTCGAGTACGCGACACCAGCGACGAGATTTCGTCGTCGCGACAACAGAGGGACGACCCGACGGTCGCCTGGTGAAAGTGGATTTAGCTACACGTCGGGTTACTGTGTTACTCCGAAACCTCGTCTTCCCCAACGGCCTTGCTCTCTCTGAAGACAAGTCGTTCCTCGTCTTCTGCGAATCCGTCCTTTTCAGGTACCTTCACAATCCTGCAGTGTTAGATCCGCTGTTGTGGCTGCCAGGGTGGCATCCTTGTTACCCGTCTCCTTACGCACTGCGATAGTGCTTATCAGGGTTCTCATACTGCGCTGTATTGCGATCTTGCAATCTTGCAGATGCAGTCGCTATTGGTTGAAGGGCCCCAAGGAGGGGAGTCAGGAGGTTCTCGTGGACCTCCCCGGCTCGCCAGACAACGTCAGGTTAAATCCGCGCGGTCGATTCTGGGTTGCCATGCATTCACGAAGACGCCCTCTTATTGGTGAGGATCTGGAATGCTGATAGATTTGCCGCTCATTGCTTGTCTGCATTCGGTGACTCTTATTAACAGTTTCTTGCCCCTCCTTTGCCTCCAGATTACTTCGCTCCGCGACCGTGGTTGAGAACTTTAGTCATGTCTCTTCCTGTTGACATCAAGATCATTTATGGCTGCACGATTGGGTGGCCGCATGGCCTGGTGGTGGAGGTGGATGCTGATGGGCGAATCACAGATGTCTTGGAGGATCACATGGGGCGGGCTGTGAAGGCTGTGAGCGAAGTGGAGGAGCGCAATGGCACACTATGGATAGGATCCGTGGTGATGCCGCATGTTGCAGTGATGAAGTACACGCCCAGGGCCTAAAAGAAGGGAGGGCAGAGCAAGGCTGGCACTGCATTCTCTTCTTTTTGTGCCCAAACAGTAGGGGCTGCTCCAACGATGATGTGGATGCTAAAGCAACTTGGAGCACGGGTAGGGAGGCACTATACTAATCCAGTAGGCAGAATGGCGCATACTAACCTAAACAAAGGCAGAAAGCGATTAGAGCTCATCATGTTGTACCATGGGAGAGAAATAAGAGCTATATTTTGGCCAATGCTGGTGTGTGACAAATGTGAGCAATATTCTCCACCTCGAAATAATCGGTGCTGTCAAGATTATATAAGTTATATATAATTGATAGGCTTGATAGTTGTGCTACTGCATCCTACTGTAGAGGGGATAACTCCCCTTGTACCTCATTCTCTTCTAGTTCAACTATCTCTTCTCTCGTCAACTCTTCTCCTCACGCTCCTAGTGTCAACTTATACATATTATCTATGTAGAAGTTATAGGCTAGACTGAGGTATGCTTCTAGTGAGTACAACCAACTAGTATTTGTTCTAGGTTTCCACCTCTAGTAATCATTCGTTTCTACGTTAACATGGTATCACGCTTAGGTTAGGATCCCCCCGCCTACCGCTTCCGCCCGTCGCGCCTCCTAGGCCCCGTCGCGCCCCCTAGGCCCCGTCGCGCCCCCCCTGGGCCCCGTCGCGCTCGTTAGGCCCCGTCGCGCCCCCCCTGGGCCCCGTCGTGCCCGCTGGGCCCCGTCGCGCCTCCTAGGCCCCGTCGCGCCCCCCATGGGCCCCGTCGAGCCCGCTGAGCCCCGTCGCGCCCCCTCTGGGCACCGTCGCGCCCGCTGGGCCCTGTCGCGCCTCCTAGGCCCCGTCGCACCCGCTGGGCCCCTTCGCGCTTCCTAGGCCCCGTCGCGCCTGCTAGGCCCCGTCGCGCCCCCCCTGGGCCCCGTCGCGCCCGTTAGGCCCCGTCGCGGCCCCCCTGGGCCCCGTCGTGCCCGCTGGTCCCCGTCGCGCCTCCTCGGCCCCGTCGCGCCCCCCCTGGGCCCCGTCGTGCCCGCTGGGCCCCGTCGCGCCCCTTAGGCCTCGTCGCGCCCGCTGGCCCCTGTCGCGCCTGCTGTTAGCGCTCGCCTGCCTGGCCTCCTAGTGCCGCTCGGCCTCCTCCTAGTGCCGCCCGGCCCCTTCCTAGCGCCGCCCGGCCTCTCCTCAACGCTGCCCGGCCCCTCCTCGTGCCCGACCGGCCCCAGCAGCACCAGCCTGGCCCCTCCCAGCACCAGCCCGGCCCCAGAGCACCTGCCCGCCTCCCCTGCTCGGCCTGCCGTGTCCTCTCGGGCCCTGTGTCTTCTGCTCGCCTGCGCTGGGACGCCTAGCTGCTGCCCTACTGGAGAGTGCTGCCGCCGTGTCCCCGCGCCGCTGTGCTCCTGTGCCGGTGAGGAGCTGTGCTGCTGTGCCGCTGTGTCGCTGAGGAGCGGTGCCGCTGACCCTGCACGATGGCTGACTTTGTGCTCCGCCTGGACGCTGAGGGCCACGCGGTTGACTTCGCCGCCTGGCTCTCCGATCTCCGCCGCCAGCTTACAGGTCAGCGCCAGGATGGCCACTCTCTGGTTGTCCATGCTGATGGCTTGCTCCCCCGTCCCCCTGCACCTACTCCCCTCCCTGCTGACCCCTCCTCTGATGACCGTGAGGCTTTCTCTACTGCTGCGCTGGCCTGTGCGGTCTGGGACTCACGCGATGCAGTAGCTCAGGTTGCTATTAGTCACGCCCTCCCTGTGTCTGAGCGCTCGCGTTTTGCTACTGTTGAAACGGCCAAAGCTTATTTAGACGCCGTTATTGCTCGCTATTCCACCCCTGCCTCCGCTTCTGCTGGCCGCTTGCTCTTTCCGATGCTGTTCCCAGACCTGGCTGCCTTCCCTACTGTCGCAGACTTTGCCACTCATTTGCGTGCCCTAGAGACTCGCTATCGCACTGCCAGCACTGCTGCCCAGCTCACTGCGCTCCCCCCTCCTTTCTGCATGACGCTCTATTTTATCGCTATGCGCCTGCCAGACCGCCTCGCTAGTGCTCGCGACCACTTTCTTAGCCAGCACCCGGGTGACCTCACCCTGACCGCCTTTGTCGACACCCTCACTGAGATCGAGACTCGCCAGCGCACTATCGCTCAGTCGAGCGGTGCGCCGGCAGTCTCTATCTTTCACGGCTGTGCCCCATCCCAGTGCACGTTCACTGACGTTTTGGCTGCGGTCGCCACGGCGACCCATCTTACCGAGACGGCTGCTGCTGTCCACCCGCAGCAGCGCTCGCGTCGCGGTGGCCGTGGCCGCCAGGGAGGTAGGGGTGGTGACGCAGGTGGTAGTGGTCGTGGTGGTGGTGACGGTAGTCCGCCTGAGGGGACTACCACCGGTGGGCAGGAGCAGCAGCCCCAGCAGCAGCAGGACCAGCCCCAGCCGCAGCCGCCGTCCCAGCAGCACCCGCCGCAGCCGTGGGCTCGTCTCCCGCCTGGTTGGCCCGGCACCTCCGGAGGCGGTGGCCGTGGTGGCGGCCCGCGCAGCTTGGCGTCTACCAGCGGCTCCAGTGCTGTGACCTGCCAGTACCAGCTTCAGACCGGGCCTCTCCGCGGCACTCTGTGCCGCCGCCCGCACCCGACCGCCCGCTGTTTCCGCCGCCTCGACGATCTTTTTCGTCGTCGCTTTGGCCCGGCCCCGGACCTCCCTGACTGGCACAGCCTACTCCGCCAGGGCGTGCCGATCTTTGAGTTAGACATGGATCAGATAGGTGCTGCTTTGCATGCTTTGTATGCTGACGCTTCTAGTGTTGCTGGATCTTACTACCCTGTGTACTCTAGTTTAGGTGTTTCACCCTTGTGTAGCTTAGCTTCCCCTGCTGCGACAGGCGTAGGACTGCCTAGGTTGCCTAGTCTAGTCGCTGCACCGGCTCCGTCCCCGGCCTCCGCCACTGCGTCGCTGTCCTTCACTCTCGACTCTGGTGCTTCTGCCTGCTTCTTCCGCGACCGTTCCACGCTCACGCCGCTTGCTGCACCTGCTGTTGTCTCTCTCGCTGACCCCTCTGCGGGTCCGGTCGTCGCGCGCAGTTCTACGTCCCTTCCTTGTCCGGCAGTTCCCTCGGGCTCCCTTACTGGCCTCCACGTTCCCTCGTTCTCCAGGAACCTGGTTGGTGTCGGCTGTCTCCAGGACCTCGGCGTCACCACCACGTTCCCCGGGCACGAGCGGTTCGCTGTCTGTTCTGAGGCTGTCTCAGGTTCCCCCCTTGCGACGTTCCCCCGGGACCCGGTGTCCGGTCTGTTTACCCTACACACCGCTTCCCCCCCGGTTGGTGCGTCCTCCCAGGTCGCTGCAGCTTGCTCGTGTCGGTCCCTCACTCACCCCTCCCTTCTCTGGCACCACCGCTTAGGTCACCCTGCTCTCCCGCGTCTGCGTCACATGTCCCAGCACGGTCTTGTCTTAGGTCTCCCCGCGTCGCTCCCTGCCCTTCCTCCCTCGACTGCGCCACCGTGCACGCCTTGCGTCGAGGGTCGGCTCCGCCGTGCTCCTCACTCCTCCTCGCTGCGTCCTGCTACTGCCCCCCTTCAGACCCTGCACTTGGACGTTTGGGGCCCTGCCCCCGTCCCCGGACCGCGCGGTGAGCGCTACTTCCTTGTGCTCGTCGACGACTACACGCGCTACACCACGGTGTTTCCCCTGGAGCGGAAGGCCGACGTGCCCGACGTTCTTCTCCCGTGGGTTGTGGCTGCGCGTCTCCACCGCGGTCTCCCCGTGTTGTGTCTCCACTCCGACCGTGGCGGCGAGTTCGCCTCTGGTCGGCTTGGACAGTTCTGTCGTGCAGAGGGCATCACCCAGTCGTACACGTTGCCGGACTCGCCACAGCAGAATGGGGTTGCTGAGCGCCGCATCGGCTTGGTCATGGAGGTCGCCCGTACCTCCATGATCCATGCCGATGCCCCCCATTTTCTGTGGCCGTTCGCTGTTCGCTACGCGGCTCACCAGCTTAACCTGTGGCCACGCTCCCAGCGGCCGCAGGTTTCGCCGACCCTCCTTTGGACCGGGTCCCCGGTGACGCGTCTGCGTTCCACGTCTGGGGCTGCCTTGCTCACGTTCGTGCCTCTGGCACGGACAAGCTCACTGCCCGCACTGTCCCCTGTGTCTTCCTCGGTTTCCCCCTGGACTCGTCTGACTGGCTTTTCTACCACCCGCCGTCTCACCGCTTCCTCCACTCTCGTGACGTCACCTTTGACGAGTCCGTCTCCTTCTACCGCCGCTTCCCTCACCGAGGTCTCCCAGTTGCCCCCCCCCTGTTCCTTGCTCCCTCTCCCCCGGTAGCCCCTGCCCCTCTCCCACCTCGTCCTGCCCCGTCTGGTGTCTCCCACGTCACTCCCCTCCCGTCGGTTGTCCCCGTTGAGGAGTCTGCTGACTCTGGTGGTACCCCCGGTCCGTCCTTGCAGCGTCCCCCTTCCCCGGTGCCTCCGCCCCCACTGTCGCAGTCGCCGACCCCGCTGCCGCCGCCGTCGCCGTCGCCGCCGCAGCTGTCGCCGCTGTCGTCGCCGCCGCCGCCGCTGTCGCTGCCGCCGCTGTCGCCGCCGCCGCAGCCGTTGCCGCCACTGCCGCCGCTGCTCTCGGCCCCTGGGGGTGCTGGTGTGGAGGAGGGTGTTCGTCCTGCGGCTTCTGGGGGTGCCGCTGGTGTTGGAGGGGGTTCTCGCTCTGGGGGTGCTGGTTCTGGGGGTGCTGCTGTTGAGTGTTCTGCCGACGGTCGTTCTGCCTCTGCTGGTCCGAGAGTTCCGGCCCAGCCGTCGTCGCCGCCGCAGCAGCCGTCGCCGCCGGTTTCCGCTCTCCGCCTGCTCGGCCTTCCCTCCCCGGACCGCGCGCCGGTGTCTCCCCCACCGCCTCCTGACCTTCCTGTCTACGGTCCTGTGTTCCCGCCGCCAGACTCGTCTCCGGCCCGTCTTCCTCCTCGTTCCCCTCCTGTGTCTCCTCCGCTGTCCCCTGACCCTACCCCTCCGTCTCACGTTTGGGCTCGCCGTCCCTCCCGTGCTCGTCCCGTCTCTCCTGTCCTGCCCACCCACCCTATGTTGCTCCGTTCCCACTCGTCTCGTCCTCCCCTCCTCCCGTCCCCTCCTCCCTCGTCCCTTGCTGTTGCACCTCCTCCGTTCTCTGACTACCTCCGTGCTGCTCGTCCCCTTGTCCCTCGGGTCCTTGCCTCTCTTGTTACCGACCCTGCTGTTCCTGTCTCGCGCCTTGACGCGCTTGTC